GCTGGAAATCTTCCATTCCTGCTACTGTTTTTCCCCCACCAACAACATCTCCAAGCTCTGATCTATGGGTAAACCTAATGTTCTTCTTTGACGCCACTAAGCTCAGGATTTTCGTAAGAGGGGAACATCCTTAGTGAAGAGTGACCAAGAACATATTACTCAGGAAAACTGAAGCAAAAAAAGTGTAAAGCATGTGGCGTTGAGGAAATCTTTCTGGAATGCGCCATACAATCTGCTTTCATTCATAGTTACAGGGGTATTGAATGCGTAGCTTGCCTATGTGGTGACTTTAAGAGGACATAAACTGCGAATTCAGTGATTTTATCTTCACAAACAAGTCTGGTACCAATCAGCTCCCCTCAATGTGTAAGTGAATGCTGATTCTCCAGTGATTTCCAGCTTGCTGAAGTAGCCCTAGTGCTAGATTTGATTTGGATCTGGTCCCTGCGCATAATAGGTGGCGTCTTGCTATACATCTTATCTGCCAGAAGCAAGGCTGAAAGAAGGCATCGAAAATGTTATCTGACTGTAAAAAATTATATAGCTCGAATCAACGTCATGGATTACCGAACTAGTTCCCTCTGGTGACTTCCTTTTCCCTTCTCGTTCTCGTCCGTTTTCACCTCTCCATTCATCAACCATTCCATCTTACTCATTTTTGCTTTCTTGCTATCTGTCTTTCACTTGCAAAAGTTTTTTTTGATCAAGTGGCTTCTCCAAAAGGCTTCCTCCTCATGTGATGTTTACCATGCGTGATTTCTGTTGGGAAGAATGCAACGGTTCAAAAAAGGTCGTATACGATATGCCATACATATGTTTAGTGATAACTAAATCGCACGTGACTTCTCGTAATGGTCAGTACTATGTGGTAATTTGTGTAACCCCTTCTTTGTTGGCGTGCTGTTTTTGAAAACTAATTTCGTCATTGTTTCCACTGTCTGCTGAGTCGACCTTGGAATGATTACAAGCGTTGCGTTGCGTTGTGATGTTTTACACGTCATGGTAAACACCACACGCTCGAGCTCTTCAGTTGTTTTTCTGTACTATTTTCAGTAGTTTCGAAACATAATTAGCACTTTCGGTAACTTTTAAGTGTATTACACTTTATCCATAAGTTTGAAGTGTAGGTATAACCAGGTAACTCGAAGAGGCAACGCAGTTGGGTAAATTGATCGAAATTTACACTTCTCCTGAATGTGCCGCACATTTGACTGCTATGCAAAATCATATATCATTGGAACTACGAATTTTCGTTGCAATGTGTTTCGAGAACACTCAGTGGTCGGAACAAAAATCTGACCTTTAAATAACCGGAACCTTGCTTTTATTGGATAACCGCTGTTTTCGCCGCGTTTTGCTTTCTAAGAGTATCACAAAAAAGCTAAGTTGTGGGCAAAACATTTGCCCCAGCCGGGATTCGCACCCGGATCTTTTGCTTCCCGGGCAGTTGTGCTACCAGTTACACCACCTTGCGGAATGCTGATATCGGCTAACCAGCTCATCACGTTACGTACGAATGCCGATAAGCTATGGTATCTTTGCCGTCGATGCTGAGTTGGGGGAGGGGGATGGTCCATCGGTGATGTACTGGTAGCACAATTGCTCGGAAAGCAAGAGATCCGGGTACGAATTCAGGCTGGACGGCAAAACTTTTTTCCCAAAACTCAGAATTCTTGTGAGAAATCCGACCCATCTATTCGACCACAGAAGTGTGAAAAATTTTCGGCGTCTAACTGGGTTCCGCTCTTTCAGTCATTGGTTTTTGGTACATTAATAGCCGCTTTATGAGCATCAAACCAGTTCAATGTATGTAAAAAGGGAGCGCTGGAAAGTGAATGAGTGTTGTAGTGGCCTCTATGAAGGCGCGAAATCTTTTGCATATGGGAAAGGTGTTCCGAATCCGCCGCAACATTTGTAGGCTTGAACCTAGTTATGTGTAACCCTAAGTTAAAATTGTCCAATTTCCGTTGTCCCAAGTATGTGCTTGTAATTGCTGTTGTAGCGCTCTTTGCTGAATATGTCACTGATAACATCGTCACGTGATGGGGTATTCCCTGCGTTCCTGAGGAATCCCTGCAATCGTTTACAATAGATGACGTTAACCAGTGTTGAGCGCGGGCGGCGCACACGTCACCGATTTGGCGAATAGTCACGTAAGCCCGGAAAGTGGGCGCCCACATGTGGCGCAGATCGTTTAGCTGGATTTCTTCGTTCAACATATTTTGAGATACAGTAGTTGGCTTCTGGAGAGAAAAAATGTTCAAAAACTCAAACACTTTGTCGACATTTAATCGGCAGAAGGGATCTTGTGGCTTCTTCTTGCGAAAATCTGTTGGGACATACGAGCTTTCGCATTGTTTTGAAAGGTGCTGGCTGGAGGGAATGGTGCAGCAAAGAGGTCCACAATTTTCTTAAAAAATTGTCTCAACTCGAATACATCATTTCAGTCGGGATGTTCATGCACTGTTGCTATTTTGTAGATGCCTTCTTGTTTCCAAGAAATTCTTTCTTGAGAAGCTTCTTAGGAATTAGAGATAGTGTGTTCTTCGTTCTTGCTTACTTCTTGAGGTTTTGAGCTACCAATCTTTCTTTCAATGTCCTGAAAGGCCTCTGTTATTCATTTATCATCAACTGGCAACATGCGAGTGCTCAAGTACGTGCTGTTGTGGCGATAAATAAAGTTTAATGACATCAGGCTTGGTTATTCCGGCACTTTTGGTTGGTTCAACCTTATTTTCCTTTATAACGACTCCTGTCATTTTTCCTTGACTTCGGCTCTGCGGCATTCTGAAGATGTTGGCTATGCATGGGCGGCTTAGGGGTTCTCCACAAGCAAGATTAGCCTAATCGAAAAGAATAGAGGAGTGGATGGGGTTCTTGCTGAATTAATTAGGGACAAGAAAAAGGGAACTTTCTTTGTGCATATATAATTCCCATTTTGGGAATGAGTCCTTTTGTTTGCAGAAAGATGAATTCTCGTTTTTTTTCTCTGTCTCACTTTGCGGTAACCGTATCCTTCCATTGTCCACACAGTCCTATATAATCCGTTATTCACCGACTCATTTTGCTAGCCTGCTCTCATTTATGTATGCTTTTGCTTATTTTAGAGCTCTGTGGAGCCATAATACTTGCTCTGGATTTTGTGTAGATGTATTGTTTGCTCAGGTCAATTAAATGGATCGCTATTGATTGAAACAGGGCACAGGGAGTGGTCGAGGAAAGGCGGGGGGGGACGGTCTTGCATTTTTCTTATTAAACTTCATTTGAATTTTGGATGTCTGTTGTACAACAGAAGTGAGCACCTTTATGGAAATTGAACTTCCAAAACTATCCTGTCCTTCGATTCAGTTGTGTCACGTCCATCTATTCTGTTCACAACGTTAGCGCTTTTCGCGTTGGTAAAGGTCTCATTCATCTCATTCAAGATACTACTGTCCGTACTCTTTTATTCTTTCTCAGGTTCGAAGATCTTTTCAAAATTCAGGCCTACTGGTTTCAAGTAAAGCGATATTGTGGTGACAAGGTTCCCACGCATTATCCTCATCATGTTGTTCCTTGTGCTAGTATACTCTCCTGCTCGCCGTCCCTGTTTACTAGAAAGTACCATAAACTACCATAAACTGGAGTTGAAGAAGAGCAAAATTACCTGTATGAAGAACTTCTGTGCCCCGAAGGGAGCGAGACATAGCGCTTCCACGAGAAGAGAGGATCTCCGTAGCGGCTCGTAATAGCTTTCTCCGTCCCTTTCGATGCCTCTCGCTCTGCCCACTTGCTATGGTTTCGTCCTTCCTCAGCTAAACACCTCTACCTTTCCTTTCCGTCGACAATTTTTAGTGCAATCCGCCTGTAAGTTTATGGCCAATTCCTTCGAAACCACATCATGTTGTTTCTCGCTGCATTATACAAGAATGTTTTGGTCATTGCAACGTTCTTTCTGCCTTTTTTTTGCGGGCGCACACCTATCTTACTCATCGGCAATGATTCATAATCATACAACAGTGCAGCGTCGCGATGTATTCTGGCAATACCTCGTATTCCAGCGCGGAGGCAAATTTCTACTGTTTTGAGACTTTTTGCTTTAAATTTTGATTTGGGCTGATCTCAAAAGTGCTGAGATCAATCCATCCGACTAACTCATCGCGGACCGCCCGTTGTACGAGTATCTCCTCATTTTTTTATGTTTTTCAAAAACGAATCATCATTAATCTATCAACAATTTTATCAGTGATGACACGTATGGTTTCCAGGCTCTGAAAATGAGTGCAAACAGTTCAGGAGCATTGAAAAATGTCAAATAAATCAGATAAAACTGCTCTTCCGTGCGAAAGCGTGCACCACATGGGAGCACGCGGTACGCGATGTGTTGAGAGGTACATTTTGCTTAAAAGTTTGGGCCGTCTACGTCTATCTCTTTGCGGGTATGTGCTATGGGGTGCATACCATCTCGCTTTCGCTTTCGCACCAACCTCGGAGCTTCTTTCCTCCAACAAAACTAGGACTTCCTTGGGCGGCGCAAACTATTGCATCAAACGCCACTTCCTATTCCGATAAACCCGTTTTCAGAAGCTTTTGAAACATTTATATGAGCAACTTTTTTCAATTGAGAGTAAAGGTGTTCTAGTTGCTCCCTGTTATGTCGGCTCTGTTATCAGTTAGTAATACTGGCATACATTATGCGAAAGGAATTGTTTTCGGTTTTCTTAGAGAAGCCCCTTCGAAATATGTGGCTGTCATTGTGATGCAGTCATTAGTGGATTCTTAAGCAAATAGTGCCATCGCTCAATACCCTTAGTTTTTCGAGGGCAGTCATTTTCAACCGGTTTCTTCGAAGTAATTTCTAACATTTTAGCTTCTTCTTAGAAATTTCTCTTTCCCCAAATTTCTTCAAATTTTAATTTCGTGCGTACTGTTTTTGTCGATCTTATCATGCTATGTAGTTCTTATGAAACAGTTATACCTGTATACCTTTCATATCCTGCTATAATTACACTCTTATTCAGTTCTATCGCTTGGTTGGACCGGATTCTCTCCAGTTTATTCAAAAGAAACAGGAACGACCGAAACCAGGTGAGTGTAAGGGGCAAGTGATGTCATTGGGTTTCTTCTCTCTCATAACCTTGATCGATTCAAATGTTCAAACGTTCAAAGGATATAGAAACGAATCCACGTACTTCAACCCATAAATTATAAGCTTTGTTAACGTGTATGTTGACGTCTGGACGTTTTTCACAGCCATCTGCGTCACCTGTTGGCTCATTGACCGCGTAGGGTGGGTCGAGCTGGCGACAAGCTCGTTCCCCTCCTTTTTTGCGTGCTTGATTCGCTCAATGGAAAAAATATTCGCTCCTCTTGACTCGTGGGAATGAACGTTTTCAGAATGTTCATTTGCAAAGAAATTTCACACCAGGGTTTGGGGGTAACTGTGCTATTCGTTATGTTCCAAGGTGTCTTATCGGCACCGCTTTATCGAAAGATGTAAACAAAGTGCATCATGTGAAGAGCGGTGTTGATGTTTGGTGCAAGAACGTGGAAAACGGCTGCGTCCGTGATCAGTGATCGTCTGTATCCTCTAAAACAAACAACATTTCTGTTCTAAAAGAACCTGTTACAGATTTGGAAGCTGAACGACAGGCTTATACGTTGTTCTATCGGAAAAAGACGAAAAAGGCCAACGAAAATGGGACGCGTTTCCGAAGCGAGGATATTCCGAAAAGCTTCACTGAGCTGCGAGGTTTTGTATCGCCATTGGGATCGAAATCTGGTGAGTCTTTCTCTGTGTAAATCGTTTTCATGGACGTGGCGGGGGTAGGTGGGTGGAACCTTTCTGTGAGTCTCATTCTTGACAATTTAATTTTTGTTGAGCCACAGGAACTGAATTAGACAGCCCTTTGGCTCATTTTCCAGAGCCTGATATAATTTATCAGTGAAAGCCTCATGTCTTGTGTTGTACAATTTTCTGACCATAAAAGGTGATATTTTTGGTTGGAGTAGATTTCAGTTTTGATTTCTAGGGCAGTTGTAATTTATTTTCTAAGCAGAAAATAACTTGGTCGTGACTTTGAAGATGCTCCTTTGAATTTGCTTAGGCCTTCGCTTAGGGCGTGATAAACGGGTTTCTTGAAGTATTTAGTTAAGTTAAGTTAAGTAGTTTTTTAAGGTCCGCTTGACGCTCAACAATCCCGCTCCCGAGCGTATTATGAGAGCATCATAAACGGTGATGTGGATGAAGAAAGCACTCGGCAGGTGAGGGATGGAAGAGAACTCCCGCAGAGAATTTGAGGAAGCATCATCACGACCTTCGAAGCGGTCATCGAAGAGGAGGAAAAAGCCCGATGACGAGGTTAGTGACGTTGTTCCACCCGTTCTTTTTCACAGATCGATTGGCTTGTTTTCTGCACTTTCTGTCTGGCTTCGCCCATGGCGTAGCGCGACGATCTTTCTGACTCATCTCTTTGAGTGTCCTTACCGCGTCCCACTTCCTGTCTGACGTGTTCTGCTGGGGATGGTATCAAGCAGTGCTAGGCTGTGTTCAAAGAAACTACCGCTTTTTTGATGGACACAGTCACATCCCCTGCATGACCTGATTTGCCGCTCTGCACTCGAATTCTTTGCTTTGCTTAGAACACTTCTTCTAGTGTCTCGTTTTGGTGAATTCTGCACTTTCCAGACGATCTCACGCGTCAGCATTTATGGACAAAGGAATCGATGAAATAAAGATCTTGTGGATCCAGCAGTGATGGAACATGATTCTTTATGAGTCACCTGGAGAAGTAAAACATCTGGGCCTTGCGTGTGAACATCGCTTTGGCGAATGTGGGTGATCCTGTCCGGGTAAATGCCGCTATTTGTTCATTTTCGAGCCGATATGCTCTCTCTCTCTTGTCAGATCTTTCAAGTGGAAAATCCTCATCTGCATACCCATTCGTGAAAGGCTCTTTGGTTTAGTGCTCGTTTCCTGTCGACCTGATGTGGTAGCCGCAGTATTTTACTTATCATATAGTCTCCTGGCTCTGAAATGTTCCGGATCCAAATTGCCTTGTAAGGGCATTAGGAGCTTATGGCTTCGATCAGGGATACTCTGCGTATCTGTGCCCTCTTACCGTTGCAAACCCTTTGATGTTTGCGTCTCACTGGTTCCCTGTGCTCTCTCGCCTGTTCTCTCACTTTGGCGTACACCGTATTTCAAATTATCGCGTAGGCTCGTCTAGAACCCAGATGGAAAGCCCCTTTTGAAGTGTTTACGGCGGCTTTCCTTCCTTTTTCTCTCCCGGTGTCCATTTTACATTTGTACTTTTAGTTTCGACCACAGTAACTGATCATGGAATGCGTCTCTGAAAACTGGCTCCTCAGCAATTTCTTGCTTGAATCTTTTCGTCTGGAAGATTCTAGCGAAGAGAGCTTGGAGCTTAGGATGGGGCAGCTTTTTGATCTTTTTATAGGTATCTCCTATAGCCTCTTGTAGTGCCTCATATCCCTAGCTCCGCTGTTGCTGTTGGCTTGCAGCGCTTAGCAGATTATTGGCTTCTGCCGAGTGACCGGGTGGACAGGCTGAGAGCTTATTGACTGTGCCCTAGATATAGACGGGTGTACACGGCTGCTCAAACATAGACCGTGGGTGGCTGCTTCTGACCTTGAGGTTATTGCTTACATTTAGTCGTCCTTTCTGCTCTTTTTCCTTTTATCTTGCTTTTTCTGGATCATTCTTTTAGAGAACTTGTATATAAAATAGAGGTTAGGGTTAGGAATTGTCAGGAAACGAGGTTTATCAATGTGTTTAATCATCCTCGTTCAGTCATTTCTGCCTGATGCATACGGTGTTGATGTTCGGTTTATGTATATACAATTTGTAATGTTTTTATTGCGAATATTGCTAGTTTGTTCTGGGCGATAGATCGCCATTGAATACGTAATGCCGCGCCCACACCAGTTTATCACGTGGTTCCACCCACTGGTTTTTGATGTGGTGCTGGAGTGATAAAGGAGGCGTGTCTTTCCGAAGTCATTGGGGGTTTCCCCATGACGTCTGGTGAACCACCAGGCTGCATTCTTTCATCATAAAGAGAATAAATTTTTAATTCATTTGTTTTCTTGTATTCGAGCTGTTTATCGGTCGTGTATTTCCTCAAATTCGAATGTGATCGTTATGCGTAGACCATTTTCTTTGACTTATGCCAGCTTTTTTTTCTGGAAAATTCTCTTTTAAGGAATTGAATGTTATCGTTACGATTAGCCGCTTCCTTACGTACTGGATCGTTCATAGCCCGTCGATCGATTTGCTATGTAGCATCACCAGGTCGAGCATCAATTAGGTATGATTTTTGTCATTTTTAAAGTATGCGCCTATATGCAATTATTTTATTTTGATTAAAATTTGTTGGTTCCATTTATTTGATTTATTTTTATTTGATTTATATTTATTCTTATTTGATTTATATTTATTCTGTTTTGCTACCTAATTTTATTCACCAGTGTAGAATTTCCCTGGAGGCGCAGGCGCTTTAGAGATGATCTTGTTTGGGCTGAAGGAAGGCCATACTCAAGTCGCACCGGTGAAAATCCAGTTTGGTGGGGGGGGGGGGGGGCAGCACTCCTTATTTGTAGTACAAGAAAGCCCTCCTTTGAGCTATCCAACATTGTAGATAGGATAATAATTAAACGACTCATTTCAAGCCTTACTTGATAAGGAGCGGTGGATGTTCTACATCCCACATATCCTGCCCACATCCTATCCACTTTTCTGCAACCTGGAGCTCCTTCACCCTAGGCCTCGACAGAGGTGTCCATTCTCCTGGTCCAGGACCTTCCTAAATATAGCAGGGCCGAAATATAGAGCAGCTCAGGTTTTCTTACACATTGAACGAAAAATTGTCAGAGGTACACCTTTAATGCAGGTAACAAACTATGTGTTGCTCCATTTTCCACTCGCTCGGAATGGGGCAACTACAGGGGGGCAAAAAAAGAGTCACTCTCACTCACATTCAAAACAGAATTAATTACACTTTGCCAAAACCAACCGAAATGAGCTCAATTGCATATTGAAGAGCACATTCTATTCTATCAAAAAATTACATAGGGGCTTTCTACACCGACATCAGAAGATTTTCCCACGGAAACATGGTTCGCGGTACGAGCTCAACGAGGTCGTCGAGAAACCATAGACGATTACGACGTCTCTGAAACGCTGGTCAAAAGCCATTTTGCGTATTCAGAGCTAGTGTCCCTAAGAAGTCATTCACCAGTTATCCGAGTGAAGAATTATGTAGCAGCTTCAGAATGGAGCGATTATGGTAGGCCTCCTTGAGCTCGACGGTGATGACAGATGACGTCATATTCTGGAGACGGTGAAGCAGCGAAGGTGGGCCTGATTCTGCTTATGGGGGACATCTAAGGAATAATTCGCCGTATAACTCCCAATAACAGCGGCATCCTTTGCGACGAAAAGTTTGATGATATGCGCCATGGGCAAAGTGACTCTTTTTTTTGCCCCCCCCTGTATATTTGCCACGGTCCATTACATTTGTTTTTTTTCGCACATGCCCGGATTCTTCCTAAGTTTTTTTGTGTTCATTCTAGGCTACACATCAACGTTACTAAAAACCACATGGCTCACAGATTGGCCAAATATTCTTGAGTTTGGCGAAGTTTTTTCGGACTTAAGAAAATATCTTTTCAGGTTATCCTTTTTTTCAACCAGATTGGTCCCCCGGCAAGCGCCGGAACCTCCCTACCTTGCGTAAGCTTTCCCTTCTCCCTCCTCTCCTTACTCTCCCCTCGTTCCCCTCTGCTCGCCGGCTACCACAGCATCACCTTGTCGAATGACCGAAAGTGTGCTAAGTGCGTGTTTATATAGCCGTTGGGGATGCTATCACAATCATGCCATTGCAAAACACTAATAGCTAAAGTCCTGTGAGCTACATGATTCTGTTAGCGGTTTGTTTATCCCATGAGCTTCCTTCTCACTCACTTCATTTTGCGGACGGACACACATACATACATACACACACATACAGACATACAAACCGACACACAAAGTTAGCGCTTTATAAAATAGAAGGATAACGTAAACACGTAGATGGAAAAGAGTAGTAGGAGTGAGTACAGACCTATTCGCGTGGCAAGATATGTTTCCACTGAAACAACACATGAATCATTTGGGGCCAACTTTAGCGAAAGGGAAGTAAAATTTGCATAATCGGCGGCCATGAAGGTCATTTTGGTCGAACATCCATTTCTGTAACTCCCAATAAGTTGAATACATTGGACAATAATGGAAACATTCTCTTGCAATACAAATTTTCGTATTTTCAACTGAAATCCACAGTTATGTGGTGATGCGGTGGTAGCGCCTGCAAAATCGCGCCAGGCCGAAAAATGCCAAAACGCGCGAAGTTAACGACGCGACGCGAAACGGGTTAACTTTGTCGGAATTTTGCTGTGTCGATTGAAGGCCTCTCATCTTATATTAAGAGAGACAATGGAGTGCCTCTTCCCAAGATCCGAATCGATCCCTCTTCTTGCATATGCGCAACACACTATTCCGTTCAGAATTGTCGGTGGCTTGAACGCGAGGTGGTTCGATACGATGCCTTGCGATGTCAGCTAAGGCCACAAGTACATTATTACTGAAACCGTAGAATTGCTCCTTACAATAAACTCGCCACAACGCGTGGAAAGTTCCTTAGTGACCGAGACGTTGGGATTCCATATCACGATTTTTCGGACGGCATCACCTTCTACTGCCACAGTTCATCCTTTCACAAAAAATCCAAAGCCTCCCAGTTTTGAACAAAGGTATCCGTGTATTTTTCGGTACGACATTTCAGATTGCGGCTGTTAGCTGTGGGAACTGGAGCAGGGCTGTACACAGCATGGAATTTGCGAAGAGTGCGATGTGAAGCTCTCATGGAAAATCACAGTTGGCTTGCTACGGGTACAAATGTGGTCAGTTACTTTCTGAAGTTCGCGTGTGAGAAAGGCGGAGTGTGGGTGAACTCATTGCGGATAACTTGAGCTGCCGCCTATAGCGCCGAAATACGAATTTTGGAGATGGATACCCAGGGGATTAGGTAGTATTAGAATGCTGATTCGGGTGCTGTTGTGTACCATCATATTTCTAAAAGCTCCTTACCGACAAACAACAATTCTAAGTGGATTACGGATTTTTTTAAAATTTGATTAGTTGAGTACTATGTAGTCTTGCCAGGCCCGTAGTTGTTACAGTTGCAATTGATGTAATAAAAGTGGAGAGTACGTGTTTCGACGCTATGATGACGGACAGATAAATGGCTCATTGTTGGGAGTTTATGTATGTTGCAACGTGGCGAGCGTTTGCGTTGCGTCGAAACAATAAAATATTCCCTACGCAACGCCTGCCGCGCTGCACGACATTTCCGTTGTTAGCGACTTCATATTTATTTGTTAGTTTTCCTTATGCGAGTTTCGTATGAATTCCTAACATTTTGGTTTCTTCTAGCCAGACTCACTAGATAAATCCGGCCAGGTTGGTAGTTACCATTCTTGTTGTTGTGGAGTGTCTATGTGTATGTGTTTTTGTTGTTCGTTTTGCTGTTTTTTCTCACCTACTAACCATAACTGATCTTCTTGCAAGAGAATGGGTCAGGTCGTGAAGGTTGCGGCGACGCGCAGGAAGTGGTCACCGTACGCGGCAGTTCTGAGGTAGATGTATCGATACAGAGCTCAGCTGTACTGTTTTGGCGCAAAAATAAAAAGTTGGTGTGTGCGCGACGCTGCATTCGAAGTCGCGATCACCGCGTTGCCGCAATCCTTATGTCCTGTCTCATACCTTGCAAAAGTAGCAGTTACCGACAAGACCTGGGCGAAATTTGCTCATGCAAATTGTAAGGGATTTTGGTGGAATGGCAATTTCTGACCAGTCATTGAACTGCTCTCGGTTTCTTTGCTGTATTAATACAATATGAAACCTCGAAGAAGTCTTCTAATTGTTTTATGGAAAACCTACACTCAACCTAAAGGCATGACTGCGATGGCTGGAGGGCGATGGTTTTGATGGCGTCATTCAAGGCATTCGTGGAAGGGCGTTGAGGATGCGTTCCCATCATCCCCCCACACGGTGCATGAAAATCTTAGGTCCCCGAAGCTGTTACCCACGGGCAGAAAACTAAGCGGGTCAGTGGAAGAGTCGCGCGTAGTGATTTGGCGCCTTCTCGTTGCGCGACGGGCCTCTTGTCGTGTACTTACCAATGGGATTTATATAACTTCGCTAAGAACCTCCAGCCATCGTGATCACTGCCTTTAGTTGCGTGGCTATGGAATGATCACCAACAAACGAATCGCTCATAGTTGTGGTGGGTGAAAGAGGCAAAGCGTCTGTTTTGAGAAAGATACGTTGGAGTAGCTATTGGTTGAAGAGTTCTTTCCGAAGCAAGATGTCTGCGGAACAGAAAATTTTGGAAAATCTGCGAATTTCTGCCTGATCCTTTTTGCTGAATGAACTCACTCCCCTTTTTCCCTGATCAATAGAATATTTCGCTCTGGGCAAGTGAAGGTTGAAGATGAGCTAAAGGTGAACTTGACACGAGGAATAAGGAGGCAGTGTAATGGAAAACGAAGGAAGTTCTGTGTTCAGATGTTCTCGCCACTATGTATGACCCTGGATCTAAAAGAGGAATCGTAATGCTTGCTTTAACATTTCTCCTAAAATGTCAACCCTTTACTGCTTGCAGAATCCCATACTCGAGAAACGCTCAATCATCATCAAGCTGATTTATATACCGTGGTACTTGTTGTGCGGCACTTGGATTTTCTTGAGAAGGATCACGAGGTGAGAGGATTCTTAGCACCCCCATAGACTAACCAGGGAAAGGCATCCAACTTCCCATGGAACTTTTGAATTGAAACCCACATACATAGCATTGAGCTTTAAACGCTGATGACAAACACCTGAGCTAAAACTGCAAAATGGACCTGCCTAGGAAGTTGTGAGCAGTCAAACTGGGCTCCGAGTAAGCGCTACGTATTAACCGTGCTAGCCCCGAGCTTTCAGAGTCGCCGTGGAGTAGTGGGAGTGCTCTCAAAATTTGCACTGCAACAGGAAGAGAACTTATGACCTCCCGGGTGGAGAGCGGGGGCACTATCGCTACTCCGCGGCGACATTGAAAGCCTGGAACATAGCACGGTTCATATGTAGTGCTTTACTTCAGCCAACTTTGACTGCTCACAACTTCCTTGGCAGGTTCATTTTGCAGTTTTAGCTTCCATATTTGTAATCAGCGTTTGAAGCTCTGCCGATATATCCAGGTCTCAATTTGAAGTTCCATGGGAAGTTGAATGCCTGACCAGAGGTGAAGTTTTTTCTGTAACCGTAATAACTTCACCTCTTCTCCGTCGGAGCTGGAAGTGCGCTATTGTGACAAGAAGACTGGTCACGAGCGTACTGCTGTGGCTGCCATGTGCAATTGGGGAGAAATGAGCATTTCACCACAGATTCACGTTCTTATCCTTTTTGAAGCTAATATGTCTGATTACAGATGTCTGGGCTTAGCAATCCGTTTCGTGCCGCGTTAGCGGTTACATATCCATTAGCTAGCCGAGTGGACGGCTTACATGAGTTTTGGTGGTCGTGTGTTTTGTATGCAATTCAGGTTAGACTTTTCTATCAATTTTTTCTCTGGATAGTGATTTTTTTATTGAGTTTTAGATTTTTTCACTTTTCCGGTTACCTTTCTTTTCGTGTTTTTTTCAAATGATAGATCAAAATTGAGCTTTGAAGTTTATTGTTTATTGTTTATTGTTTCGTACGTCAAAAGACATGCCGTCAAACACATGAAGATGGCTCGTAAAGGGAAGGATCAAAGTATATAAAGATTAAACTCCACAAAAAGACAAGAAAAGTCCTAAAAAGATGCTAAGGAGGATAAAACCATCATCAAATCATCTTAGAATACTGAGACGCTGAGCATTGCCAATTAGGGACAACGAACTAAAAACTTAGCTCAATAGAGCAGTGGCCCAACATTTATCAAGTTGGGACAATGGGCCAGCACGAGGCGAGACATCTTCAGCAAGGAGTTTTGTGATCGAGTAGGTTTTGAAGCCTTTCTTATTTGGTCAAATGTTTCCTTTCATCCTCAGCTGTCTTTGCGAATCAGTCCCTTTTTGGTCACTTCTCTTTAAAATCTTTTTTTTGAAGATATTTATCGCTGTTCAATTTCTGTGAAAGGCCAGTTTGGGACTGCAGTATGTGCAAACCATATAAGCGGTTGCGAGGCTGCTTGGTGGTTGTACGCGCGACAGTATGCCAAGCTGGCCTTTAGCATCAACGCGTTTAGTTTTCACGTAATTTGTCCCTGACTTGTGGATGCTGTAAACTAAAAGGGTTTGCTCGAGAAACATATTTATAGATGTCAATTTTGCACACGAAGACAAAACGAAAACGTTACTTCCGTGACTGTGACCAAGTACTGGACGAAGTGTTTGGAGAAGGATTTGCTAAGAACCATAAAAATGAAGTATTTGTGCGAATGGAGCCGTATTCGATTGGGTCTGGTTGCATTGCTCAGGTGTGGTTTGTTCTTCCTATCGTTTTGTTCATTCACGAAATTTCTCTGACAAATAAACTTGTAGTAGAAATTTTTTGGCAAGATTCCGCTTTTTATATTTTTCCCCCTTATTTTTTCTTCGTTGCAGGTTTACAAAGCTACAGTAAATGTCGCGGCCTTGGAGCGAGTGACTGGAAAGAAATTCCCTCAGTTTGACGGTTTTGAGGAAAGAGAAGTGGCGATCAAGGTAAATAATGCGATAGTTGTGTAGTGATATGGATAAGGGGCATTGGATAAAATAAATATCGATTGTACGCCTTCGCATCCGTACGTTCCTATTCGAGTAAGGAAACACTGCTGTTTTCAGGTCGCAGATTACGGTGTTGATGACAAAATCAATTTGGATTTGTCAATTTTGCGAAATGCAACAAGTTTGGTACTCACGGTATGTAATGATTGCTATTTTTTTCCCCTCGTTTATAAATGATTCTTATTTCTATCAATTTTGATTTTCATATTTTATTTCTGAATGGGAAGGTGATCCCTAGAAAGAACACTAAGTTGAATTTGTGGCGAAAGCGTACTTGGATGCGCTGTACAGTCACTTTTCTGTTTTGTTCCGAATTCCTATTTGACGTTTTGGTTTTTATCTTCCAAGGTCTGCTGGTTTGGGCGCGTAATCTCTCCAAATTTTTTGCATTTTTCGAAAACATGTGGGTCCTTTGTGAGCACTTGACAAAAATCCTGAGATCGACTGTTTCAAAGCATACCAGAGCAGCCTACACACTGCGTGTGCGTACCTCAAATCATCTTTATTTTTTTAGTTGATGCCGTCTCTCAGCTACTTAGAACCCCTATCGGCCCTGGCACAATTCGAAATGGTTCTACGTCGTCAAGTTGATTTGAGGAATGAGGCGCGAGCATTACAAGTGAGTACTCCGTGGTGTTTTTTCTATTTATTTATTTATTTATTTATTTATTTATTTATTTATTTATTTATTTGCGCGCCCTAATTGCACTCCTACACACAGGACAGGAAGGTAAACACTAAGCCATTAGAATAATTACTAAATAGACAAAACAAACAAGAAGATCGGAGTTATATCCGGTCAACCAAAAAAAAATAATACCACCAAAAAAATGAAAATTTCATATGTTCTGCGAGATTACCATTTTTTTTTCAGAAATTTTGTCTTGGAGAATTTCGATCATTAAAAAGACCGGTGTGAAATTTCCGACTGTGATTGGCTACACGAAAAACATCATAGTGGAGAGCTTTGAGCATGGAATGTATATCAATCGATTGGTTGCAGAAGATAAAGACCCAGAGGTGACAGCTATCAGTCATGTTTCAGCTCCGACTAGGATTTTCAAAGAAAAAGTCATTTTAAAGAAGGAATATTTTGCAGTTGGCTACACGCCAATCGCCTAAAGTGCGCCGACGGATTGCTTTGCTTGGTGCACGTGCTCTTCTCAAAATGATATTTGTCGATTACTGGGTGTCGTGCCATTGGAGATTTAACATCCAGGAAAGTATTTTGATAGGTGGCTGGCCGGTATTTAATCGATGGTTCGAGATAGCTCAACGAAATGACCACATCCATGGCTCACAGTGAACAGTGTGGCTTTAATGATCATTATTTCAGTTTCAACGAGGACGATCAGGGTTTGCCTGGAGTACACAGTGCACCACCGAAGGAGACAATAGTGGCACACGCGGTAGGGTTTTTGTTATCGCGCATGGGGTTACGGAAGAAAATTTGGCGGATATTGACGTGGTAACGTAGCTTTACCATGCTTACTAAGCTGATTAGTTTTGGAACTTAAGTCCCTGCGTTTTCTCCCAAATGAAGGTGCCCAGAGGCGGGAGAGGGAGTTGGTGCGCAGTTTTCCTTCACACAGTTCAAGGGATCGGACACGGATTGTCTTGCGGAAATCTCCTCCTGGTCCCTCGATTGGTGGCATTGTTGAGTTTTGTTTTTTTTTCGGAAAGGCCAAGTATCTTAAAGGCAACACAAAGTTGGTGGGGAGGCGGGCACTTTCGTTAGAATCGTCATTGGGTTTGAAGAAGTTCGGGTAGGCATTTGGATTCTCTCTGTCAACGCGACTTAGGAGGCGGCATTTTCCGAGCACGGTCACTAACAATTATCTCTATGTTCGGCTCTTCCGGTCTCACTAGCCAGTATTAATACTAGCCATGCTCAGTGCCTTCATTCTCTATGAGAGGCGACAATCGCTGGCTCAACGTTTTTTGAAAAGAGAAGTGCATGGCGCATTGCGATGAAAGATTAAACCTATGCTTTCAGCTCTTATTTTTCGTCTCATTTAAGTGAAGCACTTTTTTGAGCGAAGAATTCTCTTTAGTTGGAACGAATACGAGATTGGCTTGGATGGCGATCGTCGCCACGAATCCGATTCACAGACTCTCCAGAACTAGCTGACGAACCGACATTAGTAATGCTCGACACTGGAATTGTTGTGTCTGAAACAGAGAAGAACTTTGCGGAATTTAAAAGCGCTTTTCCGAGCAATATTACAGAAACAGGTTTGCTTTAACTATCCACTGTACATAGATGAATATTTATTTCTGTCTGAAACCTTAAGTTCTACTTCGGTTGTTGAGTCCGTTTGGGCGGTTAACGTTTGCTTGGCCGAGCTGAAGCAAATGTACAAATCCAGCTTTCGGAACAATACGCGACAAATTCCAAATTAGAGTTCATTAATAATAGCTGCTTGTTTAGGGTACAAGCGCCCGGCGAATTATACTTACTCAAGCATGCCGTTTTTTTGTTTTTTTAGAATAGCCGTAATTGTCGTGATCGCGCTATGACTTTTTGGGGGGGGTCTACACCGTCGAGCGATTGTGACAAAGCAATGAAGAACGATCTTTGAGAATCAGTGGGTTCTTAGGTCTTTATGTTTAGTCGCCGAGACCAAAAAAAAACAGGGAAAAAACGACCACAAGCCAACATGTGGAACCACATTAAGTAAAAAATACGTGATTTGCTTTTATCTTTTATTTTTCCATTTTCAACATCTCTTTTTTTTTGATATCTCAACCTGTTATTGTTCTTCTGATGTAAATTACTCTGTAAGGACCTCACTGTTGCCCTTCGTGTGAGCAATTTTGATGTTTTTGGTGGGGAGCTTTATTGGTTTTTGATTAAATCTAATGCATAATGTTGGAAGAGAATTAAGAAATAATCGTGCACAATGTGTGGGTTTTGGTTTACTCCCCGGTTCTTACATGATGTCTCTCGCACCGTTTGTTGAAGGAGGATAGTTTATAAAGGGCGTTCCAGGCGAGATTTTTTTATGCGTTTATACAACGTGTTGGGCAACAGATTGCTAAAGGATTTGGTAGATAGATGGCTGACACGAGAGAAGTGCGTTTTTCTCATTCTTTCAGATTTTCTTGAGGCATGAATTATTGCTTTCTTTCTACCTGCTTTTACTTGCCTTTTCGTATTAGCTTTTCGTCTTAGAACTTAAAGTATTGTTACAAATTGCGTCAAGTTTTTTTTTCGAGGATTCTCATGTGGCATTCAAATTCCGCTCAAGCGTTTTACTTCTCATGCATTTTGACCGGATTCCTTGATGACTTTTATGTCATGGTTTCTCCATGTGTTTAGTAACACTTCGACTTCTGGCTGTGTCCTTTCTACGGTTTCTCTCTGCCTTGCTACTACTTCCTTTACCTATTTTTCCACATATTCTCTTGAGTGTGAGCAGCTGGTCGCCAAATGAAGTGTAGAGAGGCGCCAGCGGTACAGCGGTGAAAAAAATCCAAGGAAAGTCCAGTTCCGGGAGATGGAATCCTCTTGAGATTCTAGCGCTTGAAAAGATTCAATGGGGAATGAATCATAAATGTTTCTTGTAATAGTCTTTCTTCCCACCATTCTTTACACTCTCTCGCACCGGCAGGCAGCTCTTTCACCGATTAACCATGAGCCAAGTTTTGCCACTGAGGACGACAGTTCATTACGGCTTCCGATTTTAGGCCTTGCTAGGCGCTTTGGTGCGCGGCTATTACCTTGCCGGACAAAAAATTCTGGCTGCTCAGGCTTTCTGTGAGGAGTTTTACGGTAGCGGTTTTTTTCCCTCTCCCAGCATCCCTTTTCATACCAACTGCCTTTAACTAATTTAGGGCATTCCTCGAGTTCGCTTTCTGTGGCTTTCCATATAATGTCAACGCCCCATCTTACGCGCAATTCTTTTCTATTCCGTCTTTTATTCCCTTCTTTTTCATTCTTCTTATCTTTTTTATACATCTCTCACTCGAGGATCGCCTTCTGTACTTCCTTGTTGCACCGCTGCCCCTTTCTCTCACTTCACCTTATCTACTACCTTGCCTTTCTGTGCATGCCTTGAGGTCCTGCAGGTCTCACTCTCCCTGTATTTCTTCTTGGAACGAAAACCAAACTACTCTTTGAATTCTATCCTCTTTGAATTCAGAAGCCACAAGCAGTAATACTAAGTTCCAGAAACAGCCTACAAATTGAAACAAAATTTAAAGGACTTTAACCGAAAAAAAACATAGTCGACTTATTTACTCAGCAAAATGATTTATTTGTTACTATTCCTCTGTAAACTCCTCTCATTTTTATTTTGATGCCCTAGAATGTTTACTGGTTTCCCTTTTTGCAAGTGATTGTCTTATTATTTGCAAGATTAGCTGAGGCTTTCATCGAATATCACTTCTATTTTTCAGCTCAATATCTCGGCGTTATTGTCCGAGATGTTCTCGTTAGTAGCCGCTCATCGTGTCTACCTTGACTCGTCGTTTACCAGCGTTGTACTGTCGGTGATGGTACTCGAGGGTTTCGGCAGGTCACTTGATCCGGACCTCGATCTGTTTCAGTGTGCTCGACCATATTTGCTGAATATGGTTTAGCTACGTTTGAATAACGTATTCACTAATATTGCTGAGATCTCAACGACCGCTAGATATGCTGATCGAATATCGATCGGTTTTTATTGATTGTTTTCATTTAAATATTCTTATTTTACTATCTCATTCCACGTTTCTGGGCAAATTAGCAGCTAGGCTATGCTGTGGGAAAATATCCAATATTAAAGATCCCGTAGTAAACCGGGAACGGTCGATATTTCAGTTGCTGTGCAACATAGGCACTGATTATTGAGTTCTATTCACTTAATAATTTGTATGATTAGGTTTGTAGAGTTTTTATGATTGTTAAGAGCAGTAATAATATTTATTTATTATATTTCTACCCAGATGTGGAATCTCGCCAGTCCTAGACATCGTATAGTTTACTCGTAGAAATCTTTAGTGGCAGAATTCCAGTCCAAGCCTATGTCTGTGAGGGAGGGGGCACTGACGCGCGCTGTTGCGGTGCGGCCTGTGGTACTAGTGTAGAATAAACATGATTTTATCGTCGCCGTCTACCTTACCTCTGCCTTAACTTACCTATCTTAGTGCGTTTGTGCAGGTTTGGTGGCAATTTTGTCTGTCGGCCGCGCCGCAACCGCGTGCGTCCTTCTTGCTCCGCCTCTTCGATGGCTTTGTTTGAACTGGCCTGGTTTTCAATGTCCGACGCCGCGGTCGCGTGATCAACCTCAGCTTTAGACATTGTCTATCTCTCACAAGTACGTGGTCATTATGAGTTTGAATTTGAATGTGTTCCTTTCTACGTCATCAACTTCTTTCATTAGTCGTTAACTTCCCGGTAGTGATTCTATCTAGTTCTTAATCGTATTTGCAGTAACTTACTAGGTAATTGTATACTTGGTATAAAGTAAGTTTTTTCTGCGAATTCGGTGGTAGAGCGGGGTTGAGAAGCCCGATTGTGTCGGATCGTTTTCCATGTTCTTTTTTTGGCGTAATATATAGATGTTGTTCTGCATGGGTACTGTACTATGTATCGTGTTCTGTAACCGTTGTGATTGGTTTTGGTCGGTGTTGTAGTGAGCATGTGCGAATAAAGCATGATTTTTTCATGTTGTGTGGTGGTGTTGCTTCAATAAAAGCCCTTTGATGACATTGGTGGAGAGCGTTGATCACAGGATGCGCCATACATTCGACTTTGACTCGAAATCACGGTGTGTGGTAGCTGAAAGCTTAATTGAGTTGATCGAGGCCTAGCATGGCAAGCATGTGATAACATCTAATTTTAGCAAAAATTGACATCGGCTTTCTTGTCACAAAAGGATAAAAAGGATAAAGCATTTGCCGTTGATCAATCCCTTTTTGGGATGCGGCACGCATTCTACTTCCATTTGTACATTCGTAGTGGCGTTTGAATGCGATGTGGCCTATACAATGACTTGCGGGGGCCAGCCGATGTACAAGTCAGTGTTTTTATCCTCCCAGACAAGTCTGGTACCAATTAACCGACCCCGGAGGGATGGAAGGCTTGGTTGGCCTTCTTTCTTGTTGATTCGAGTAAATGTAGTGATGTGAGGCAAGCGTTTGTGCGCTGTCGGAGATTCATCGTTGCACATACTGATGTATCTCTATCGGTCTTTTGCTTTTTCTTCAGTTGGGCCTTTTTGCTCTTCCTAGCGGCACCACTACCATATGCCATTCGAATCCAACCCCTTACATCCACTTGTCGCGGACTGTGCCTTTAGTACAGAGTTCACTACAGAGGCAGCTCATTAGAATTAATTTAGTGGTGGTCAGTGGTGCCGGGATGGAGAAAAAACCATGAGAAACGGCCCAGAACCTGAGAATGGACCATTTCCTTGCCCGTTGATTTTCGCATTGATGCAGCTCTCATCGGTGCTGCCTGTTTAACGATGACACTGCTAAACGGCTAGAGATCAGCGGCGAGCTGTCAGCCAGTCGGGAAGGGGAAGGGAGCGTGTCCCGTCGATAGCGGCGCGAGAAAGACTATGCTAGATCGCCGGGGGCATATCCTTTGCAGCGATTCACGTGTTGGCTCCACATCCTTACGGGAGTCCGCCTGTCTTTCCACTAGGTAAGTTTACCTTTTTCGACCTTTGACCTTATCGTGGATCCTCTCGCATTAAAGTATCATCTCAAAGTCCGCAAAATCGCAAGTAAACCTATTGAGCTAGTCTACCGTACCCCAGAAACGGTAAAAAAATTTGGCTCTTATTAAAGTCATAGCGAAATGAACGTCCTGGAAGTGATGCTGTGATTTTCAATGATAATAGTGCAGCGCTATGATCCGATACGGGGCCTTTGAGTGCAATACATTCAGGACCGCGCAACATTTCGTCTTTATTAAAAACGTAGCTAACTTTGAGCAGGTTATGGGAGACTCCAGGGTGCGTGAGCGACTTTCATTCTCCCCAATGTCTATGTTTTGTCCATTCTATGTCATTGCCCTCCTGTTAGACGCTAAGTAGGATGACCCCGGATAGGCGTATAACGTAACGAAGTTGAATTAGTGATTTATTCATAATTCGTCCATCGCTCGGTTTCGATGAAGCATAACGTTGTGGAGTTCTGTGAAGCTGTGTGTGGCCGTCGTGAGCAAACTATGTGGCCCATTGGCTGAGACGGGACGCATTCTTGTCTCACATTTGTGCGAGTAGTTTTGATAAGTTTAATGTTTCGCGATTTCCATGCTTTCCCGCAACCAACTGCTAAAATTTTGGTTCGCTTCCGTTCACACCCAATGAAAGCATGTTCAACGAATGTCACTGGTACGTACTTATTTTTCAAGTTTTGTTTGCCTCTTGGATCCTCTTCAAGTTCGAATTCATCCGCTTTTCCACAAAACACGTCCTGAATGTCCTTCCATCCACCACTTCGGCCTGACGTAAGAGCCGAAACCTCCCAAGGAATGGTACGAGGAGTTGATGGACAGGGTGAGGAAGTTTTATTGATACGATTTTACACTCTTATAGATCTGCTTTTTTTGTAATTGTCCATTGATTGGTATCCCATATTTCAGGATGAAATCCTTCTGTATTTCACGGCTAGCCTCGGTGTACTTCTGCCGGGCATTGTCTATGTCATCTATCACAAAGTTCATAACATCTACATAAATTAATGCCAGGGTTTGTAACTTATTCATAGTATTTTTGATGAAATTTATTTTTTTCAAAGTGAGGTTTGTTTTTTGGGAAGTTAATAGAAAGCCATTCTCTCTTCCCCTACTTGTATCGCCTGCAGTTTCTTCCCTCCCTTTCTCCTTCCTCCCTTCGCTGTTTTTTTTTCTGCTCTACTCGTTTTCTCCCATTTTCACCCAATTCGATTAGAAGCCACTGGGAGAAAACTCTTCCTCTATTTTTCCATCACCACCCTCCACCTCAATGACTCCTTACCTCCTTACTATCTTTGTTTCGTCCCTAGATCAGTTGTTGCTTACTCTCAGATTTTCTCATCTCCCCCTCTCCCCCCAATTGTCCCCTCCTCTCTACTTCTGCAGACTGATCCATTTCATTGTCCTCATTCACCTTCTTTCTAACATGAATTGAAATCTACAAGTATTGCTCGCCTGAGAGAAAAGTTTTTCTTTAGAAAAAAGAACAACAACGAATTGCTGAAGAAGCCGCTCGTTCTGAAGTTGCCATTATTCCTATATGTACCGAAGATAGTGCCGCTCAACGATTTGTCACTCATTTGGAATCGGCACTGAAATCTGAACTGGTCAATCCGCCCATTTTATGGCCAATAATATCTCTAAACAGTAAAGAGTTGGCTGGTTTCAAGGTCGGTCTGGTTGAGATCGTGGTCTCTTTTATTGCCTGTTTATTGTAACTTTTACTTGAATCGTGCTCGTAAGGCTGATGTCAGACTTTGCGAATCGAGCGATTCGCTAGCGTCCGCGGTCGCGTTGCGGTACCAGCCAATTGAGTGATTCACTGGCCGCGACGCGACCGCAGACGCTAGCGAATCGCTCGATTCGCAAAGTCTGACATCAACCCACTCTCTGGAAGGGAAAACTTCAAAATTATGAACTATTCACTACGGCAGCACTACGATTTTGAGGTGAATATCTGTTCAGGGATTTTGCCTGTTTGTCGTCGAAACGCTATCTGGAGGCGCTGCCTTGCCGTCGTGTGAATGGTTTCTGGAGTGGCTTGAAGACGTGGCGGCGGACGCGAAGCAGAAGAAGAAGGCGAATTTCGAGGCTTTGAAGTTCATTATCGTCGGTTTTGGTTCAAGCGATGACGGAGAGACTCATTTCAATCGGGTGAGCCATCACACAGAACCGAAACCTTTTTTTCTTTCCCTCTGAGTCCAGCCAATCTTTGTGAGTGTGAGTGTCGCATTTCGAGATACTTCAAGTACTTTCCAACTCTGATATTCGCTTTTCTTCCTCTCTTTCAAAGATCTCTATCTATGCTGCAGACAGAAGTAGGCAGCGCATTAGGAAAGGCTTGTGATCAGCTTCCTTTTCCTTCCTATTTCTTGGAGGAGGGAAGGGGAGGGGGAGAGGTGAGGAAAGCGGGGTTCACTCATGAAACCGTCTTCGGCCTCTCCTTGGGTTCCCATGGCAGTAGCGCTAATCTGGGTGGCTGATTAGTAATGTCTTCAACCAACCTCCAACTCAAAATGTTCTGACCCCGCACGGTTTGACGGTGGCTCTAGAAGAGTGACTAGCGATGTTTTTTCTACAAAATAGGGCGCATCTCTAAAGATTTTTGCTGTTCAGTTTTGGGTTTGACCTTCTTTTGTACACTATTTACTGACTTTTTGTTATTTTCTTCTTTCACAACTCGAAAAAGGCTCAGAAAGTGAAGTTAGAATCACTTTGTCTCATTTCAAGCGTTGGGTAAACATCACAGCCGACAAACGTGGTTGTTACTCTGCGGCCGTGAGCGCTGCGACGTATTGTCGACGGGTTCGCAATGGGCTGACAACGTCAGCGAAATTGAGAAGATCCGTGCGACTGGATCGGTTTCCTATTACCATCACTGATGCGAAAGCAAATTGTAAAGTGCTGAAAGGTGACTAAGCAGTTTC